AAACAAAGTTTGATTTTCTTTTCCGTAAGTGGATCCCTGAGCATTCCTTCCATCAGTCATCCCACGTACTTTAGGATGGCATCAGCCAAGCTAGGGCCATACAGTCAGTATTTGTGGATTATCATGTTAAAAAGGAACTTTTAAACAAGTTTACATTAGCAGAGAAGTGAAATTAATATTCCAGAGTTTGGTTCTTTCACTTGGGGGCTGATGGAAGTTAGGAAGTAGTTCAGCCATCAAGAAGTAGAGAGAGGTCTGGGCTTCTGGCTTAGCCATTAAGCTCCTGGTTGGGACACTGGTGTCCTCTATCAGACTGCCTGGGTTCAAGTCCTGGCTCTGCTCCCAGCTCCAGCTTCCTGCTAATGCACGCCCTGGGAAGCAGCAAGTGATGGCTCCAATAGTTGGGCCCCTGCACCCTTGGTAGATCTGGATCAAGTTTCCAGCCTCCTGACTTTAGACTGACCCACAGAGAGAATTTGGGGAATGAGGCAGCAGAGGGGAGCTGTCTGTTTCTGTCAAATTTTTAAAAAGAAAGAGATAAAAGGTGATGGATATATTAAAATAGATTATTCTTATACTTTTTTGTAACAAAGCTGGGAATAGCTACTTAAGTTACAATTTTTCCTATGCTCTGCTACTTTATGAAGTAATAAAATAATAAAATGGTCAATCTGAGGATTAAGAATCTTTTTTAGAATTTTTATTTATTTGCATATACTTGATGGGCAAAATGAGAGAGAGAAAGAGAGAGAGAGATTGATCTATCCACTGATTCACTCTCCAAATGCCTCCCACAGCCCGGGCTGGGCAAGGCTGAAACTGGGAGTCTGGAATTCCATCCAGGTTATCGCACATCAAGCCAACAACTTCAGCCATCATCCACCACTTCCCAGATCCATCAGCAGGGAGTAGGGTCAGAAATGTAGTACCTGGGACTCCAACCAGCACTCTGATGTGCAATACAGACCTCCCCAGCAGAGGCTTACCCCACTACACCAGAATGCCCACCCCAGCAATAAAATTTTGTACACAATCATCATTCTACCACAGTTCAGGAATTTTAACAGACAAAACAAAACAAGCTTTCACTAGCCAGTTCTCAGAGGGATACAAATACGTCTTGAATTGTCTTAGTTATTCTGTCTCTCTCTGACTTCACACTCCCTCTCCCTCTCTTTACTTGCTCTCATGAGCACACATCTTTATTGTGACCCTCATCCTCTAACATATCCACACCCCAGACATACTCAGCACTCGCCATCAGACTAAGGTAGCCTAAGATGACACCAGTCTTAGAAAAAGAAGGGTATCTGGTAAGCATTACCTGGGTTACCAAAGTGAACAAAACCCAAGGAAAACACAAAACATGGAAAACTTACAGTAAGTCTCATCTCCCCCTTTCCTTTCATAATGATTTCCAGATTAATGACCCGTTGTAAAAAGCTGTGAACAGAGGATTCAACTTCAGAAATTTCTTCATGCTGAAAAAAAGAGTTCTACATCTTCAACTAGGAATTTGAGTGGAAGGCATATGCTCTAAGACAACAATTGCTTTAGACTGAAGTTCTACATAGGCGAGTCAGGAAGATACCCCAGAGAGTTCCTTCTCATATAATACCCCAAGTGATTTTCCTTTTTCCCAGGATAGTGCAATGTGTACATGATAATGCATGCATGTGGAGGTAACAGGTGCCATACGTACATGCTAATTCATGTCAGCTGCCCAAGACATGCTGGGTATCAACAGATAGAATCGCTTTCTAAAACAAAACCTACCCATTTTAGTTCCTATTTCAAGTAGAGGGAAATAAATATTTTCACTGATTTTATCATTCATCAATTAAATGCTACTTAAGATACATCCACTAGGCATTGTGAAAAGGACTGGAAATATCAACAAAAAGATAATTTTCTCTAATTTCTCGAATCTTCCTGAGTTTTCAGTGGGGGGGAATATAGTGGAAGAGATAGTAGTTATTAGCAACAAGAAAATGAAGAGAAGCAAACTGTCCAAGAGCTATCATGTGTTCAGCCATTTGATAGTGAAAAATAACTCACAGGAAAAATAAGCTAAAGCAGTACGTAGCTACTTTCAACTTCCTCATCCTGACTGCTCCCAAACAAGAAGCTAAACCTCAGGAAGGTTTGCGGAAACTAACCTGGCAGGATTAATTTGGGTCTCAAGAACAGAAGATCTATTTGGACTCAGCAAATAGGTTGTAGGTGAGTTATCCACACATACTCTGAGCCAAAGCAAAACTCACAACACATGCAAGGCACGTAATACCAGCTTCCGAAGCGCAGTTGGGAACTCCTCTCCCTCGAGTTTGGGCTGACTTCGTAGCAGCGGAAGTTCCTGGTCCATGATGGTGTCCAGCGATGACAGGCTCATTAGACTGGCCTGCTGTTCATTTTCGCTGCTCTGCAACAATTACCAAGATGTGCACCACACTGTCACCCTCATAAAGAATTTATTTTATGAAAATGATGCTTATGGAGTTTCGTCATCGTCATCAGCAAAGAGCTCTAGAGAGTCTTGCAGAATCCCCCTGCACCCTACAGAAGGGGTTGACATTTTCCTTCTAGGATGGACTCAACCACTTGTTAAGTTAGTAGGTCAGAAAAACTAATTCATCCCATAGATGACACTCGTAAGTGGGAGACACAGGCTGTGAAGGCTCTCACGTGGATAGGAAAACAGGGTAGGTAGACTCAGGGAAGAAAAGCCAACGGTGCTCCATCCATTGAGCCCATTGAAATAGACTGGTGTCCCGTCTCCCTCCACTCACTGCAGGCTCTGAGATGATTCACAAAGCATGTTCGCCTACACCTCCTTCAAAGTTGCCAACTCCCAAGAACTCACGTCAAAAAGTTTGTAGAGAATGGAATTAAAAGATGTCTATTTGGATGCAAAAACAAAAATGGTATCTATGCCCAGGTGTTTTTTTTTTTCCTAGTACACATTTTCTGTGTCTTGTCTGAAGACCCCTGGACATGCAGTAACACACTCAGTCTTCCTCTTGCTGTTAGAGTCAAGGGCTCCAGGATTTTTATTTCCAGCTGCAAAGTTTTAACTCCTCAATGGGTAAACTTCAGAGCAAAAACTTCGCTGGCTGGTGACTCCTTGTTGAGAAGTCCAAAACTTTACGGGCTGGCATCTTGACATCATAATGATGATCTCAGAGGACTGAGGAGAGAAACACACAGCCCGTGACAGATCTGTCACAGGACCATTCCGTCTGCGAGTTTGGCTTGGTTTCAAAAAACACACTGAAATGCTGAGCATTTGAAACAAAATGTCACAGAAGCACAGCTCTCAGCAGCGTGTCCAAGGCTTCCGGAGACAGCTTCGGATGAAGGCAGCCTACATCACCTCTGCACCCCTGGCTCAGACAGCTTTCGCCCCAAGGACACACTTCCTCTCCTTTCAAGGTCATATCCCAGCTGTCAATGGGAGGACATTCTAACCCCATATATCGCCCACAAAAGTGGAAAGACCATCGGCGTGGCAAAAAGAAAGCAACATGCTAAACAAAGCATTTCCTGACACATGTACCAACATAGAAAACACACAGGAGCAAAAATTATGGGGAATTTGGGTGGGATCAAGGTTTTTTCTCCAGAAATGGCTTCAGAGCATTTTCTCCTGTGTTGGAAAATAATTATTGGATCCACCACAGTCAAACTGTTTTAAAACTAACTTATCTTACCACTTAAAAATCAAGACACCTATTTAAAAATGGTATTTTCTTTCCAGATTCATACATAACCACTCTGGTGTAATAGTGAGTGTTACTAAATAGGTTGGTGCAATTGGATCTTAAAGCAAAGGAAATGACTGTCATTTCTGAACATTTTTAATTGGGACAAATCCACTGATTCGGGAAGTTTTAGAACATACTGCAAGAACAGCTCATGGATCTCCAGTACTTCCTTACGGCCTGACACTGGGGATCTGTGCAGGTGGTTTGCCCTGTAAAGTCCAAGAACACAAAGATTTTTCTGCAGTTCCAATTTATAGAATGCACACTTCCACAAACGCACACTTGACCTTGACTGTAGCTTTTGGTCATAACTTGAAAATGATCCTTTGGGCAGGCTAACAGGCTTCAGACTTGGATTCTACACCAATCAGCAAGCTGTAAACCTTTCCTTAACACTGAGCTACTGAGTGGGGTGGCTATAACCAGGCGCAAAGCTTTCAAAGCTAATGACCGACCTCTGCAGACGTAGCGAGGAGGAGCTCATGATGCAGCGACTGGGCTCCTTCAGAAAAGGCGCTTGGTTCTCCACTGACCGTCAACTGGATTCCATTTCTGGAAAAAACAGAGGTAGGAGTTCAGTTCTGTTAGGTCTGCCTCCAACATCACAGGCGAAGTCATCAACATAGGGTTCGCTTAGCACTCAGCCATCAGCAAGCACCCATGTGTGCCCAGGATTGTGTAAGGTGCCAGGGAACAAGAAATGAAATGAATTTTTAAAGACAAGGAGCAAAGTGATAGGCAGTTCCTGCTTTCCAGAAGCTGCACAAGCTAGTGACTCCAGGAGGTCACAGGCAAGTGGGCTACATTTTTTTTTTTAAAAGAACTGAAGCTGGCCAGCGCTGCGGCTCACTAGGCTAATCCTCCACCTGCGGTGCCAGCACACCGGGTTCTAGTCCTGATTGGGGCACCAGATTCTGTCCCAATTGCTCCTCTTCCAGTGCCTCTCTCTGCTGTAACCCGGGAAGGCGGTGGTGGATGGCCCAAGTGCTTGGGCCCTGCACCCGCATGGGAGACCAGGAGGAAGCACCTGGCTCCTGGCTTCAGATCAGCGCAGTGCCGGCCGCAGCAGCCATTTGGGGGGTGAACCAACGGAAGGAACACCCTTCTCTCTGTCTCTCTCTCTCACTAACTCTGCCTGTAAAAAAAAAAAAAAAAAAAAAAGAACTGAAGCCAACAGAAATTTCACTAAGAATCAGGATTTCTAAGTGTTCTTGCAAAATCAGCATATATGGGCACACAGGACCACAGGGTCTTGATGTAACAAAATTAGCTGGAGTTAGACAGAGCAGCTCCCTCTGCCTCCGAACAGGTCCTGCACTTGCCTTGTTTGCCACCCACATAACATAAATGATGTCCTTACACCACTGGCTGAGTTACTGCTGTAAATCCTAGACCAGCAATTTGACACAGGCTCAGAACTAAATGATGGGACCAGTGCTGTGGCGTAGCGGGTTAAGCTACCGCCTGTAGTCCTGGCATTCCATTTGGGTACCGGTTCGATTCCTGGCTGCTCCATTTCTGATCTAGCTCTCCGCTATGGCCTGGGAAATAAGTAGAATATGGCCCAAGTCCCTGAGTCCCTGCACCCATGTCAGAGACTCAGAAGAAGCTCCTGGCTCTGGATCGGCGCAGCTCTGGCCATTGCAGCCAACTGGGGAGTGAACTAGCAGATGGATGACCTCTCTCTCTCTGCCTCTCCTTCTATGTAACTCTGACTTTCAAATAAATAAATAAATCTTTAGAAGAAAAAAGAAACAAAGGATGACACTATGGGGTAATCCGTGTTAGCAGAACAATGCGCCACAATTGCATTCAAAAGGATCACCTAACTGCAAGGTGAAGAAAAGCAAGCAAGCATTCCTACAATGGACTGAATGTTTGCCTCCCACCCCAAAATGTGTAAGTTGGATTCTTAACCCCAATGTGATGGGATTTGGAGGTGGGGGTCTTTGGCAAGGAATTATGAGGGTGCAGCCCTTCTAAGAAAAGGGCTGACCGTTCCCATCCCTTCCTCTCTGTGAAGATACACAGAGAAGTCAGCAGTCCATAAGCTGCTAGACAGCCCTCACTAGAACCCACACCTGCTGGCATCCTGATCTTGGGCTTTGCGTCTCCACAGCTATGAGAAACAGGCGTTCGTTGTTTTCAGCCTGAGTTAAGACAGCCACGAAGGGTCAGGGAATCTTGTGAAGGAGTTCACGTGGAGAAGAGCAGAGAAAATACTACACACAAAGGCAGAGAAAGAAATGTGGCCATCCCAGGAGTGGCATACAGCTCGGGGAGCCAATAACACAGGGTGGGAGGCTGGCAAGGCTCACTCCATACATACATGATGAGTTCCTGCTGCAGGTGCTGCAACTCATGAGCCAGTTTATTTTTATCCCCTCGCAAATTCTGCAATCACACACAGTATTAGGATGCATGTGTTATTACAGTGGATAATTTACACTCAACAATCTCACCTTGCAAGATGTGACATAATTATGGTATACCTCTATAACACTCCCGTAGTCTATGATGGTTGACTTCAGTTCTTCTATTCTTAAATCCTTCTGAAAAGTAGAAGAGTCAATTAACAGAGGGAAAATAAAATCTACCAAACCATACTTTAATTGGACCGTCAATATCATGCACCCAAGAACTGTAAATGCCCAATCATCATGAAAGCTTCCAACAATTTCACTACTCAAAAAGTGAACCAAGGGGCAGGCACTGTGGTGGAGCAATCTACACTGTTGTTCGAGATACCCACATTGCATATCAGAGTGACTGGGATAGAATCTTTCCTGTACTCCAATCCAGCTTCCTGCTAAGACTTCTGGAAGGCAGCAGGTAGACTCAAGTTCTTGGGTACCTGCCACTGATATTGGAGACCCAGAGTTCGTGGCTCCTGGTCTGGCCTGGTTAAGCCTCAAATGCTACAGACATTTGGGGATTAAACCAGCAGATGAGCAATTTATTTGTCTCTGCCTTTTTTTTTTAAGACTTATTTATTTTAAAGGCAGAGCCACAGAGAGAGATGGAAAGACAAGAGTGATCTTCCACCCATTGGTTCACCCCCAAATGGCTATAATGGCCTGGACTGGGCCAGACTGAAGTCAGGAGCCAGGAACTTCTTCCAGGTCTCTCACATGGGTGCAGGGGCCCAAAGATTTGGACCATCTCTGGCTGTTTCCCAGGCCACAGCAGAGAGCTGCATCAGCAGCGAACAGCCAGGACTCAGATAGGCTGGCACTTCAGGCTTTGGCCTTACCTGCTCTGTCACAATGCTGGCCCCTTGTCTCTGCCTTTCCAACAAATAAAATCCAGACGCACACACAAGAAGTACAGGACAACAAGGCAGTTCTATCTGCCTGGTGTGGTCATGTTCTGTGTTGTCTGGTTCGATGGAATCAAATCCTAAAAAGTGATTCTTAAGCCTAAATTTAAACTATAATCATGATGCAATTTAAAAATACAATATTTGTAACCGACATTCTTAAGGCATCCAATGTTATCCAGTTCAACTGACATCTTGGCTACAATCATCATTTCATATGGCAAGAGCAGTAGGGCCAGGTAGTGAGTACAGGATGTGGAATTTCATCCCAAGGCCTGCACGGTGCTCAGACAGCACATGGGAGGGGCTCAGTCCATACATAATGAGGACCAGCAGGAGTGCAGAAAGCTGGAGACCCCCACACTGGGGCGGGGAACAGTGTAGAGGCCACTACCACAACATCGTTACTCAGAGAACACCATGATCAAAAGATAAAGTACGTTCAGTACTCCGTATCCCGGTCAGCATCCACAAGCTATGACTCTCTCCTTTGAGACGTCATAACGTACAGTGGAAGGAGGAAGGCCAAATGCTGTTCTTACATTACTTCCCTGTCTTGGGCTGTGCCATTCCTCCGTCTTTGAAAGCCACTATAACCAGCTACATCTTTTATTACTAGATAGGCTATGACCACAGGATCCAGGGATAAATAGAATGCTATTAGCTGTGTATTCATCTGTTAATCACTCAAATCAGGTAGCAAATAACTTGGGGATACACTCTACCCTAAAATGAATGGCTACTTGTATAACTATCAATTAAAGCTACATACATCACCACATCTAGCCAGTGGTTGGTAGCTCGGCACACTAATATTGGCTGCATCTATGTCTGAACACCACCAGAACTTAGACAAGAAATGTTCAGGCTTTTCCCAGATGGGGAAACAGGCAGCAGTCATACTCAGAAGAACACTTCTTGGAAGTTCTAAAAAGGAAAGCCTGCGACATCCCGTGAGAGTCAGATCTTTTGAGAGTGGTGCAGTTACCCAAATGACCACTTCCTTTGTGACTTGGACACAGCCAGCCAATGCCTCAGGCCTCCACGAGCAAGGGACAGTACCAACCTTCCGTATGCTTGCATCTTTAGTAAGCAAAGTGTTCTCATACGTGCGCAACTGCATCTGAAAAGAAGCAGATGGAGGGAGGGCCACTGAGACACTGCTGTGATAAAAGCACAAGGTGACAGTTCCATTCCCGTTGAGGAAACACGGTTCTGAGACCCCCGGGTGGGCCTGAGTTCTGCACTTCCAAATGACTTCCACATCCAGCCTCAAAACAACACTTAAGCAGGGCTTGCTGTCCACATTTAACCAGCAAGGACAGCAAAGTGCAGGCTAACAGAGGTTTACCGCATTTAACAGAGGTTTAACAGAGCTTTGTCACACAGGCGGGACACAGCTGAGCCTCTGGTTTAGTCAGTCTCTCTAGCCCTGCCCAGGATTCCACGCTTTGTGGATTAAGAGGATGCACAGTCTTCACTGTCCTGGTGAAAAGTGAGTGCTAGGTGGGACAACAACAGATCCAAGGGCACACACAGAAGATTCTTCCTCTTCCACAAACATAGGTTAGAGGGACCAGCACTGTAGTGCACACGGTTGCGTTCTTGCCTGCCACTCCAGCATCCCATACAGGTGCCACTTTGAGTCCTGACTGCTCCCCTTTTGATCCATCTCTCTGCCAACATCCCATATGGGTGCTGGTACAAGTCCCGGCTGCTTCCCTTCCAATCCAGCCCTCTGCTATGGCCTGGGAAAGCAGTAGAAGATGGCCCAAGTCTTTCCCTACACCCAAGTGGGAGACCTGGAAGAAACTTCAGGCTCCTGGCTTTAGATTAGCATAGCTTTGGCTGTTGTGGCCATCTAGGGGTTGAACCAGTGGACAGAAGACCTCTCTCATTCTCTCTGCCTCTCTGTAACTCTGCCTTTTAAATAAATAAATAAATCTTTTTTTTTTTTTTTAAAGGAAATGCTATAATGGCTACCACAGAAATAAAAAGCGTTATCAGCAATTAATACCAACAGGTCTATGCTAACAAACTAGAAAATCTGGAAGACATGGATATATTTATGTACACACACAACCTACAAAAATTGAGTCATAAGGGCACAGAAAATCCAAATAGACCAATAAGCAAGATGGAGATTGAGTCAGTAATAAAGACCCTCCCGACAAGGAAAAGCCCAGGGCTGGATGGCTTCACTGCGGAATTTAAAGAACTAATTCCCAGTCTTCTCAAACTATTTAAAACAACTGAAAAGGAAGGAATTCTCCCAAACTCTTTCTATGAGGCAAGCATCACTTTAAGTCCAAAACCAGAAAAAAAAAAAAAAAAAAAAAGAAAAAGAAAGAGAACTGTAGACTAATATCCCTGATGAACATAGATGCAAAAATCCTTAAGAAAATACTAGCTCATCAAATCCAATAACACATCGCAAAGATCAATCACCCAGATCAACTAGAATTTATCCCTGGTATATAGAAATCATTCAACATATGAAAAAAATCAATAAATGTAATACATCCCAGTAACAAATTATAAAATGAAAACCATATGATTATCTTAATAGATGCAGAGAAAGCATTGGTGAAATACAACATCTTTTCATGACAAAATCCTTCAGCAAATTGGGTATAGAAGGAACTTTCCTCAACACAATCAAGGCAAAATATGACAAACCAACAGCCAGTGTTTTATTGAGTAGGAAAAAGCTGGAAGCATTTCCACTACTATCCAGAAACAGACAAGGATCCCCACTCTCACCATTACTATTCAACATAGTTACGGCAGATTTAGCTTTAATCAATAGACAAGAAAAGAAATCAGAGAGATACAAATGGTAAAGAAAGAAGTCAAATTATTACAGTTTGCAGATGACACAATACTGAACACGGAGACACCAAAGACAATACCAAAGACTTCACTAAGGGTTTGCTGGAGTTCATTAGTTTGGCAAAGTTGCAGGATATAAAATCAGCATACAAAAATCAATAGTTTTTGTATACACAAACAATGCCATAATTAAGAAAGAACTTGTAAAATCAGTCCCACTCTTAACAGCTACAAAAAAATTAAATACCTTGTGATAAATTTCAGCAAGAATGTCAAAGATCTCTACAATGAAAATTATAAACCATTAGGGAAAAAATAGAAGATGGCAAACAATGAAAAATCTTCTAAATTCATGGATTTCAGTAATTAGTATCATCAAAATGTCCATACCACTCAAAGGAATTTACAGATTCCATGAGATCCCAATCCAAATACTAAATATATTCTTCTCAGATCTAAAAAAAAATCTTAAAATTCATATGGAATTACAAGAGACCCCCAAATAACTAAAGCAATCCTAAGCAATAAAAATATAGCTGGAACCAACACAATATGTGATTTCAAGACATAATATAGGGCACTTATATTCACAACAGCCTGGTACTGGAAGAAAAATAGACATGCTGATCATTAGAACAGACTAGAGACCTTGGGACATACTCCACATGTCTACAACCAGCTATCTTAAAATCACTCTCTGGAGAAAGGACAGTCTCTTCAACAAATGGTGTTGGGAAAAATCAATCTGAATGGAGAAGCATTAAACAAGAAATCTACCTTACACCCTATACAAAAATCAACTCAAAATGGATCAGGGATCTAAATCTAAAGACCTGAAATCATCAAAATACTAGAGAAAACACTGTAAGACATTGGCACAGACAAAGACTTCTTGCAAAAGACCCCAGCAGCTAAGGTAAAAAGGCAAAAAAAGAGAAACAAGATTACACCTAGCTGAGAAGCTTCTGTACAGCGAAGGGCAGAGTCAACGAAGCAGCAGCTGTTTCCAAATTATGTATCTGATCAAGGATTAATATCCAGGGGGCTGGCGCTGTGGCATACCAGGCAAAGCCATCGCCTGCAGTGCCGGCATCCCATATGAGCACCATTCAAGTCCTGGCTGCTCCACTTTCGATCCAGCTCTCTGCTATGGCCTGGGAAAGCAGTAGAAGATGGCTTAAGTGCTGGGGCCTCTGCACCTGCATGGGAGACCTGGAGGAAGCTCCTGGATCCTGGCTTTGGATCAGTGCAACTCCTGCCATTGCAGCCAACGGGGGAGCGAACCAGCAGATGGAAGACCTGTCTCTGTCTGTCTGTCTGTCTTTCTCTCTCTCTGCTTCTCCTTCTCTAACTCTTTCAAATAAATAGAATAAACATTTTTTAAAAAGGATTAATATCCAGGATATAAAAGGAGCTTAAGAAACAACAACAACAATAAAGCAAGCGATCCAGTTAAGAAACGGCTAAAAACATGAACATGCTTTTTCAAAGGATGAAATACAAAAGGCCAACAGACACACAGAGATGCTCAAGACCACTAGTCATCAAGGAAATTAAAAAAAAAAAAAAAAAAAAAAAAAACTACGAAGAGGTTTCATCTCAGTCCAGTTAGAACAGCTATCATCCAAAAATCTAAAAATAGCAAATGCTGGTAAGGATGTGGAGAAAAAGATACGTTAATCCACTGTTGATAAGAATGTAAACTAGTACAACCATAATGGAAGACAGTATGCAGATGCCACAGAAATCTGCAAGTAGATTACCATACAACCCAGCACATCACTCCTGGGCATTTACCAGAAGGGAATGAAACCAGCATATGAAAGAGTTATCTGTACCCCGTGTTTATAGCAGCTCAACTCACAATACCTAAAATTCGTAATCACCCAGATGTCCAGCTACTGATACCTGGAAGAAGAAAACGTGGCATATATACACGATGAAATAGTACTTAGTCATAAAAAAAGAATGAAATTCTTTCACAACAAAATGGATGCAATTGGAGACCATCATGATTAGTGCGATAAATCAGTCCCAAAATGATAAATATTATAAGCTTTCCCCAATTTGTGGTAACAAATACACACAAAGCACAAAAAGTATAATGTATATGAGTGAAAGTTATATTTTGAGATTTGATTATTGTTTACACCCCTTGTCTATATTCTTGAGGAATGGTGGTTTTTCTACTTAGTACTTGCTGCATTCTTTATTTACTGGAGAGTTAAGCTTGTGATTATCAAGAAAACTGAAAGTATGTCATTGTAAAAATTACAATAGGAAAAGAGGAAGGGAGGGTATGAGGGGGGAGGGAGGGTATGCTGAGAAGTATCTTTATGCTCTTAAAACCATACATATGAAGTACTTGAAGTTCGTTCCCTTTATATAAATTTTAAAAATGTAAGGAACAGACTGTTATTCTAAAAATATATAAATACATTTTCATTTCAGACACATACAATAAAAATACTGCCCAATTAGGCCATTACAAATAACAAGGGTGACAGAAATCCAAGAATTTATTAATAGTTGTTTTCAGTTTTCCAATTAAAATGGGTGGTAGATAAGTACATACTAAATGTAGACTTATTAGATACAATATAGACAAAAACATTTCCGTAAGGTATCATCCCCTAATTTAATCAACGGCAAACTTTTCTATCTCTCTTCATTTGCAACATTAAGAAGGAATACCTAGGGTAGCTGTTGCGTGTAGCGGTTAAGTCACTGCTTGTGATGCCCAAATCCCTTAGAGGGCTTAGTTCAAATCCTAGGTACTTCACTTCCAATCCAGCTTTCTGCTAATGCACACCCTGGGAGGCAGCAGGTAATGGTTCAAGTACTTGTGTCCCAGCTACCCATGAGGGAGACTCAGACCGAGTTCCAGGCTCCAGCTCGGACCTGGCCAGCCCTGGTGCTGTGGGCATTTGGGGAATGAACCAGCAGAAGGAAGGTCTGCCTCTGCCTCTCCATCTCTCCTCCCTTTCTCTACTTCTCCCTCTCCACCTTTCAAATAAATTAGTAAATAATTAACATTTTACACCAAAGATACAATATTTGAACTCCTTCCTGACATAGGAACTTATAAAACTGCAAATCAGAAATTCACAATTTGACTATTATTAAATTTGAAATTGCCACCATAATGGAAAAGATACAAGGCACAGTAGTAAAACTGCAGTTCACGATTACCTAGTCTAGACTGTATGAAAGAAGAGAAGAGAGCTGCTGCAAGCCTCCAGCCATAACGTCAGGTCAACGAAGGAGAAATGGTGACCAGCATGCGTGCATCGGCACACGATGTATACACGTAATGAAATACGCACAGCCCCAGGCATGTACAACTATTAGTAACAAGTAGTAAGTGTTGGCATGGGTCTAGAGATATTTGAACTCCCACACTCTGCTTATGGAAATTAAACTGTGAAGCTACTTTGGAAACCAGCTGGGCAATTCCTCAAAAAATTAAACTCAGTCATTGTGATCTGTGCACATCCTATGTGTACAGTCATGCACCACCTAACATCACCAAAGACCCAGGTACAACAGTATACGTCATACAGACTAAGTGAGAAACAGGCTAAACCATCTAAATTGGTGTCTCTAAGTGCTACAACGTTCACACTGCAGTGAAATCACCTAACACGTTTCTCAGAACGTGTCCCCATCATTAAGCAAAACCCAAGAGATATTAAAGCATCTGTCCACACGAAAGTTTATACGCACACTGCTTATAGCAGCAATAGTCCTAACAGCCAGTGAGTGAGAGTGAGAGAGAGAGAGAGAGAGAGAGAGAGACACCAACTAATAGCCAAAGCACCCACCAACTAATGAATGGGTAAATATAATATTCAAATAATGGAAGGTTATTTAACAATAAAAAGAAACACAGTGCTGACAGAAGGTGTAACAAGCATGGGCCTTGGAAACACGAAGCTCTAAGTGTAAGATATCAGACACAAAAACCACAGAAGATTCTATTTGCATGAAACGTCCAGAATGGAGAAGTCTGTTCAACCAAAAAATAGATTGGTGGGGGCCTAGCGTGGGAAGCGGGGGTGGGGTGTAGGAAGGATTTCTTCTGAGTGGTAATAAAAATGTCTTAACCTTGACTTCAGTGATGTTGCACAACTCCAAGACAGTGATTTATATCCTTAAAATAATTCATGTCATATGAAACTCACTTGATCAGTGGAGCCATTACCAATAAGAATGAGAAATTGCCTTGTCAATATTCTAGACATTTTGAGGAGTACCAATTTCAGACTTTACAACCAAAAGATATTTTATCAATTACTCATTTACAACTTCAGAGAACAGGAATGGTTTGACAGATGCAATATTTTACCAGGGTTTGAGAAGGGCTTACTTGGTGCTCTGTGTCAATTTTAGTCAACTCCTCAATCTTCTTTTCCAGTCTATCTGTATCGATAATGTTCCTAATATTCTAATATAAAAAAAAATAGTATGGTTAGATTTAGTACCAAGAAAGACAAAAGAACATCACAACCAACGTCTCTTTTAGGAAGTGGTGTTTTCATTCTGGCTGTAATCCATCTTCAAGTAAAGCACAGGAATTCAGATTTTCTCCAAAATTGCACCACCCTTCTAATGCAACCACCCAGGAAACCTCCCTGGTAGTGTCCTCCGATCCTGCACCTTGCCTCCTTGGCCACCCAATCCCAGGATCACACCCTCAAGCCCGTTACCAGTAACTGGCGCCCCTCTGTGATCCTAGTAGCAAGCATCTCATTCCTCAACCGCCCCGTTTGATCTTTCCTGATTGCTTCCTCCAGCACCAGCAAACTTTTGATTTTCACTGGAATCCGCACTCCACTGATCCCACCACCTCTTTTTAACCCTTTAACCTTCCCATGATCTCAATCTCATTAAAGACTTGGCTCAAAGTCTTCCATGGTCAGCCATTGCTAGTATATCACTTGAAGTGCCTCCAACCTGGTCTTCCTGCCTTTTCCAACTTGTCTCTCCAGTGAGTCTAAACCCGGAGGCAGGAGTTCCCTTGCTACGAAGAGGTCATATTCCTTTCTCCCACCGCGCCCATCTTATTCAGTGTCAACAAACTGGAAGCCAGAGTCCTTGCAGTGCCCACGTGAGGGGGCTTCCAAACGCTCATGGAAAACACACAGTATCTTTTCAGGGCAGGTGTTCATGAATGTCCTGAATCTCCTGGTTCACCCTGCAGCCAACAGCCGGGTCTCGCTGGCCCTCTCCGGGAGCAGGCAGGCTGCAGCCCTGAGACTCCAGACTTGCTGTTTGCTCCCCTCCGCACGCTCGTTCCCTGAGGAACCTCCTTCCCAGTTTCTCATCAGAAAATAACTTCACAGGGACTCTTTCTCTAACCACCCCAGTTTAAACTGCACTGTGTTTTTTTTCTCCATAGCACTAATTACCATCGGGCCCACAGGTTCCACAAGGGCTCTTCTGTTTGTATGCTCAGCAGCTCCACTAAGTCCCTGCACATGGAGAGCTCCCAACGGATGTGTATAATGAATTACTACCCCCATCAGTGGGCTTACTCTTCCTCCTAAAGGGATCTGAGCTCTGTGACACTTACACACATTTTCTAATGTAAACAATAATTGGAATGCCATCTCATGAAGAAGGTCTTCTTGTTGTTGTTGGTTTTGTTGGTGGTAGTGGTTTTTGTTTGTTTTGTATTCTAAACTGGTTTGGTGCAATTCTTTGATGCTCATCATTCATTCCAATACAAGAAAGGGGTGTGCTTTGGCATGCAAGTGAGGATGCTACTTGGGATTCACCCATCCTATACTGCGGTAGCTGGATTTAAATCCCAGCTTCACTTCTCCTCCAGTTTCCTGCCAGCTTGCAAGCTGGAAGGCAACAGGTTGGGTCCCAGCCACCCACATGGGAGACCCAGATTAAGTTCCTGGTTCCTGGCTTTGGCCTGGCCCAGGCCTGCCCTGACAGTTGCAGCCATTTGAGGTTCACTAACCAGCCTGCCTTTCAAATAATTTCAAGTAATAATTTGGAGGAATTCTACTAAATAAAATGAAAAAAAAAATATTTTAATAGGAGAAAAATATCTTGCATTTGTTTCACAAAAAACTGGCCTTACAGCTTTAACATGTTTGAATCTAGAGTAGGTTTCCTTCACAATCTTTAATTGTTCTTTTCCAATCCACTATGACATTTTTTTTAATATCCAGTTGGCCCATTTCATGTTTCTACCCAAACTATTCGGTGTAGCTTAATACTTCTGATGGCTTTATATAAATCCAAAATCAAAACCTTTGCCTAAGACTTGATCTTCAGAATTACTAGTATAACTTACTAGCTACCTATTCTTCCAATCCTTTAATTCTGTTGATTAATAAGAATATAATGCAAAGGAGTATTCTTTCTTAGCAGGAATATGCCATTCCATAAAATATGTAAGATTCATTATGGCATACCAAGTGGTTCACATGAATTATCTTAATCTCCAAAATAACTGTTTAGAGTAAGTATTCTTAGATCAGAAAAACAATGATTTCTCCAAGGTCACACTTTGAGTGAATTTAAAATCAAACTTAGATTCAAGATTTTTGCCACCTCATTCAGTGGAATAATAAAAAAGTTATTAGATAGTGCTCATGTTCTCCTTCTTGAAGAGAAATAAAAAATGCCGAAATCATATTAAATCTGAATTTTTGATATTTCATTTCTTGCATGGATAATTGCAGAATATCTTTGTCCAACATGAAAATCCTACCTGCTCTTCCTTAATTGTCATCTGATAAATCAACCTGCTCTTTGGCCTGTAGGAGCCGGAATATTCACATGGCCTTAGCTGAACCCATGGTCAACACATTTCCCCATGTTTGTCTCTGCGAGGGTTGTCACTCCCACATACCTCTTCCTGTAGCATCCGAATCTTAAGAACCAGAGCCCGGTTTTCTGTCTCCTGGGTCATTGTAAGAAAGATAATGAGAAAGAATTTGAGAAGTTTGCAGGGTACTTTCCACGTGTTTACCTGTAAGGCAGTGGACACTGCTCCCTTTACCAACTTCGTAAGGCAATGTGGCATGCACACAGCGACCCTCGGCCGCAGCTGCTTCCCGAACAGCGTGAAGCCTTGGCTTGCAGTTTCTGGGGGATCTGGGAGGAGCGACTCCTTCCCCTATTCAACCCAACTACGCCAGCCAGGCAAAGATCAAACACCCAGCTGGCTTCTTTGGCTGCTACTTTAGTACCAACCATGTAAGACAAGTGGTTGGTTGTAAACTCAGGTATTTTAACAGCCCTGAAAAGCAGGGAGCTCCAGCTTACATTGTAGACATTCCCAGAACACAGGTACATCACAACTATTTCATAGTAACAGCCTCAAAGGCAAAACCATCAGAAAGAAACACTTCAGGACAGGTTATTCGTCACAAGGCTAACAGTCAGTCTTGGGAGTAGCTCAAGATAAAGACTTTGTGGGATTATTTTTCTGTTGTTAACATGTGTTTCCTTACTTTTATAAGCAGGCATTGCCTTTATTATTAACTTTTTTAATTTTATTTTTCTAACTTTTGACAGATGTACACTTTTTTTAATTTTAATTTTTAATTATTTAACAGATTTTTTAGATACAATCCTGTTTTTTAGATACAATCCTAAGAACATAATGATACTCCCTTCCTCCCTCCCCCTCTCTCCCTCCTACGCTCTTTCCTTCTCACTTTTTTAGTTTTTGAGATCAAGTATTTTAATTTGCATTACAGTAAAAAGCCTTAATACTTCACCAATTAAGAAGTTTAACAAGTAAAAAGCAAAAAGACCCCAGTTTAGTGGGAATAAAGTTTATAGACAACAGCTATAAACAATAATTGAATTGCCTTTATAATATCAAAATGAAAGTAAAAGTATCTCAGGGTAGGATTTCACTGATAGAAAAACAAAAGAGGGGCTGGCATTGCAGCCTAGAGACTTGTGCCACCGCCTGTGACACCAGCCTCCTATATGGGTGCCAATTCAAGTTTCAGCTTTTCCACTTCCAATCCAGCTCCCTGCTTAAGTGCCTGGGAAAGCAGCGAGGATGGCCCCCGTCCTTGGGCCCCTGCAGCCACATGGGAGACCTGGAACAAACTCTCGGCTCCTCACTTGGCCTGCCCAGCCCCAGCTGTTGCGGCCATCTGGGGAGTACAGTAGCAGGTGGGAAGATTGACCTCTGTCCCTCCCCTTCTGCCTCTGTAACCCTACCTTTCAAATAAATGAACTTGAAATCAGAAGACCTGAGCTTAGTCCTAGCTCTATCACTTAGCAATCAGCTGTGAGCGATCAAAACATCTCTGTCCTTGATCTATTAATTTTTTAAGATGCCAAGATATAGCAACTTCTGCTTCTAACTCACAGAATTTCTGTGATTATCCATGGGATTAGATATTGCTTTTTTTTTTATAAATATTTATTTATTTATTTGAGAGGTAGAGTTACAGACAGAGAGACAGAAAGAAAGGTCTTCCTTCCGTTGGTTCACTCCCCAGATAGCTGCCACAGCCAGAGCTGCACCGGTCTAAAGCTAGGAGCCAGGTGCTTCCTCCGGGTCTCCCGTGCAGGTGCAGGGGCCCAGGGATTTGGGCCATCCTCCACTGCTTTCCTAGGCCATTGCAGAGAGCTGGACTAGAAGAGGGACAGCCAGGACTAAAACCGGTGCCCACATGGGATGCTGGTACCGCAGGCAGAGGATTAACCTACTACACCATGGTGCCAGCCCTAGATATTGCTTTGAAATTATTAGACACTGTAAAATGCAAAGAATCATGGGTAAAGACACCTCCTGTAGTGCTGGGATCCCATATGGGCACCAGTTCGAGTCCCGGCTGCTCCACTATGATCCAGCTCTCTGGTATGGTCTGGGAAAGTAGCAGCAGATGACCCAAGTCCTTGGGCCCCTACTCTCACATAGGAGACCCAGAAGAAGCTCCTAGGTCTGCTCAGCCATTGCAGCCAATTGGAGAGTGAACAGCAGATCGAAGACCTCTCTCTCTCTGACTTTAAAACAAATAAATCTTTTTTAAAAATGCAAAGGATCAGGATTCTAGATGTAGGACTCTTCACTTTTGATCAACAGTAGCTAATGTTATTGAACCTCAATGGGACAGAAATGGACATGGACAGCTTCACGTATAGGCCCAGGCCTAGGGTAGATGGCACTGTCACCTTCGTCTCACCCAGGAGGACATTGAGGCCGAGAACGGGCCCTGCCTCGCGCAAACTCACACAGCTCTAGTGCCAGGCCTTGAAAGCAGGCGGGCTGACTCCACAGTTGGAGTTCGTGCTCATCTTCCTGCCGTGCCCCACTCAGGAGCTGCGCGGTGGTACCCCGCTACATCTTCCTTCCAACGCATCCACAGTGACTCTCGGTCACGAAGGACCTGACGTTCAATGATTCTGGAGCCCACATTTTACTACTGAGGCAACAGCCATGCTCAACAAAGCTGTGTTGGTTGTGGGAGGTCACAGGTGACTGGCCAGGCCTGCAAACCAAGTCCCCAAATGGCTTACAGACTCCAAAAACAGCTTTTCAGCGGATGCCTTAAAACCAGTTAGTCTGATTGACTGTGGGGCCTCTCAGCGTAGTCAGCAAATCCTCAACACCGTGCTGCTGGAATTTGTCATGATTTTGAAGACTGTTAGTGCTCTTGCTAACGGTTTTCCATTTTCGGTAAACAGCATTTCTGTGGCAGTTGACTAAAAGCTTAGCCTAAGTGAGTTTCTGATCTGAATTAATGGGCCTGAATTTAACTGCTGGAAGAATTGAGTTTGGGGCTTCTCCTTAACCTGTAAGGATTAGAAAAACTCATTTTCTTAGAATCATGAGAAATGGGAACGTTGGACTGATAAACTTTCTAAAACCAGGTGATGTTTGTTACCAGGTATTTATGAATACAACTGTCAACTGCTGCAGACATTCTGAGACTTTCTAGATCTTCACCAACCAGTGTGAACCTGAGAAATGTGTAAGGACCTTCTCATCTGACAGAAGAACAGTTTCTTTTACACTTCCTGCCTTTACTTATCTAAAGTATTACCAAATCAGTGTCCTGATTTCTGATTTTTTTTCCCCCAAAACAAACCCACTTGTATTTTGGCTGTGTCAACCACATGCCAATTTCCAAGGACACCGTACTTGGATGACTTACTAATTGTTTGTTCTGAGCCCCGATCGTGGTCTTCTGTTTTTCCAAAATGCTCATACTCATTTTCAGTTCTTCCAGTTCTTCTTTTAACAGATTTGTTCTCATAACAGCCTGCTGGGCACTGTTGGGGTGGGGCAGAAGGCAATGAACAAAGCCTCAGATGTAACTGTCAAGTACAGAAGGAGAGCTACGGACTATTTTTAGACACAACTGAAACCCACCAAAGGCTTAAACCAAATGCCCACAGTTGTAAGAAATACCTGCGTGGTCTTTCACAGCCCTTGGAAAGGAAAGGAACTGGGGGAAATGTGATCGGGGAAAGGAAAGCAGACAAATACTTTCCTGAAGTCAACGGCTAGGAGAACCCCTCGGAGGCTCCACCATTGACTCAGGTACATTTTTTTTTTTTGGATTCTACCAAAAATGTATGATATTGGTTGATGCAATTCCATGAGTATTCACCAAGAAGCTGTTGCACATTCTGTACCCTACGCTTGCCCTTACCGAGCCTGCATACCAGTGAGGGCGAAGAGGAGTGAACTCATAAATAATTATGAGGAGTCTCTATGTGATACATTCCCTAAAAAAGCTATTACAGAGGAGTTTGTAATAGCAAAGCATTGGAAATGACCTCAGCATCCACCATAAGGAAGCCGATTACATTTTGCTCATTCCTATCATGGAAATACCTAGTTGTATCTCTCACCAGACTATGAACTGTTCTCTGAGAGCCTCAAAGAAGGTAAAACTTCCTCATCAAGGAATTACATTAATCATTCAATAAGCATATTTACTATGCTCCAAGTCCGTGCCAGGCTGTGGGATGTTTAGGAGATGGCCAAAGTGTACCCAGTCTTGAGAGCCCAACTGTCCCAGAGTTTATTATCAGTGCAATAAAAAATCCCAATTAAAACAAACCAAGATGGGAGTGTGCTCCAGTTCTGTAAGGTAGATAACTCAGGCAATGGGGGAGGGAAGGAGAAGTAAGGAGGCAGAGAGGAGACGGAAGAGGGGAGGGGGAGGGAGAGAGAGTTCACTGAGGGACTTCACGTGTCACAGAGTCTGTGACTGACAAGAAATACACAGCCCAGACTTCCACATACAGACAGAAAATAGAATACTAACAGCCAGGGGCTGAGTAAGTGGAGATGCAATAGGGAGTGACGGCTAATGGGCACCAGGTTTCTGTCTGGAGGAATTAAAATGCTCTGGAATCAGGGGTGGGTGTATGCTGTAGGGGTTAGGCCACAGCTTGGGATACTTGCATCCCACATGGGAGTACCTGGGTTCAAATCCTAGCTCCACTCTCATTTCCAGCCTCCTGCTAATAAGCACTCTGCAAGCCAACTGCAAATGGCCCAAGTGTCCAGGTGGGAGACCCAGACTGAGTTCTGGGCTCTTGGCATTTGTCAGGCCCAGCCCTGAATACACTAGAAAACACTGAATTGAACATTTTAAAAGGTTTAATTTTAATCTATGTGAATTCTCGCTCAATAAAACAAAAAACAGAAAAAGCAAAGCAGAAAGCCTCCAGCATGCAGAGCCCACCCCTGCCCCCACCCCCCATGCTCACCTTTTTATTTGAAGGCGCAGCTCAGCACAGTCCTCTAACAACTGGCTGTTAGCTTCTTCCAAGGTTTCCATTGCTAATTTAAACTTACGATTTTCCTCTTCCAATTTCTGCTTGTTGAAATGTAGGTGTGCTACATAGGTTAGCAAGTCAGACACTTCTCTGCAGGTCAAAGCATGAATGAGAATAATCTCCCACATCTCTAATCCCTCCTGATAGAAACAAGGCCTGTGGTTAAGCCAAACAGGCTGAAATGTTCTCAAATTGATCTGCCCTCCTTACCATCATCATGAACGGAGTTCACTTAATCTATAAGTATTCATTTAAAAACATTCATTACAACATTCAACTTTTTTCCAAAATTGCCAGGTATTTAACATTTACTATTTATAAAAATCAGCTTTCAAAGTTTTTTTTTAAAGATTTATTTATTTATCTATTTAGAAGGCAGAACAACAGAGAGAGGGAGTGACAGAGAAAGAAAAATTTTCCATCTATGGGCTCATTCCCCAAAGGGTCGCCACGGCCAGGGCTGGACCAGGTTGAAACTAGGAACCTAGACATCCAACTGGGTCTCCCACGTGGGTGGCAGAGGTTTAAGTACTTGAGCCATCTATGCTGCCTTCCAAGGCACATTAACAGGGAGCTGGATTGGAAATGGAGCAGCAGGGATTCAAATAAGCACTCTGATAAGTGGTGCGCACACCGGCTAAACTCACAGCCTCCTATCGACCGCCCCTCTCATAGCTTTTGTTTATCCCTCCTCACATCACTCCCTTGTCTACACCAAGGCAATCCTGTTTCTGCCTGGATTATGGGAGACCTGGAAATGAATGCCCGTGGTACTCACTGAGTCACGGGACTGTGGCAGGTGTCAGCAGGCCCTTAGGAAACAATTCCAGGGTTCCTATAAGGGACTTCAAAACATTTGTGAAAATGTTTTTGCTTAAAAGGTCAGTTTACACTGGTGCAAGGAAAATTTTGAAGTCCGTACATGGTTTGTTCATAATATTAATTTTCAATGATGTGTTTGAAGAACTCTTGCACATGCGCATCTCAAAAGACAGAGCTCCCACCCACGTTTCACTCCCTGAAGGCCTCTAACAGCCAGGGCTGAGCCAGATTCAAGCCAGGAGCCAGGAACCCCATCCAGGTCTCCCACATCGGCAGCAGGGACCCAACTACTTGAGCCATCGCCTGCTGCCTCCAGTGTGCACATTAGGAAATGGGAATCAGGAGCAGAACTGAGACTCAAACTCAGGAACTTTTGATAGCCCCCTATATTTGTAACCTGCAGCTCATGATTTAGTTCTCATCTTTCCTATCATTTTCTTGGCTGGTAAAAGTTTGTGTCACTCTTCTGGCTAACATCCGAGACAGAGTCCTGACTCCTCCACTTCTGAGCTAGCTTCCTGCTGATGTGCCTGAGAAGCCAACAGAAGATGGATGGTCCCCCGTCAACTATGTGGCAAACATGGCTTGAGTCCCTGGCCCCTGCTTTCAGCTTGAGCCAGACCCAGCTGTCATGGCCATTTGGGAAATGAACCAGCAGATAGGATTGATCAATCTCTCTCTCTCTCTCTCTCTCTCACCTCTCTCACCTCCCTCTCCTGTCATTCAAGAAAATGAAGAGAAGGAAGGAGGAGGAGGAAGATGAGGAGGAAGAAGAAGAAGAGGAGGAAGAAGATGACTAGGAAGTGGAGGAAGACAAAGAATAAGAGGAAGAGGAAGAGGGGGAAGAAAACAAGGAAAAAGAACAGGAAGAGGAGGAAGAGAAGGAGGCGAAGGTTAAGAGGAAGAACAAAGAAAGAAAAGAGCACATGAAGAAAACTGGGCTGTGTGTTTCAGAGAGCCCCAGGCCTCCTTCTCTTCTTGCCCTCTCTTCACAGGTCAGCAGAGATATTAGAACCCGGCTCCTCCTCCACCTTTGTGCATGCATTGAATAATTCAGAGGTAGAATCACTGCTCTTAATACGTAGAACTCATACAATCAGCAGAACATAGCTTTCCTCATTTTATGCTTACAAGGATCTATCATGGAGGTGCTTTACAAATGATCCCCCTGGAGCCAGCCTCGTGATACAGTGGGTGAAGCCTCAGCCTTTCAGAGCACCAGCTGGGGTTCGAGCTGCTCTGCCTCCAACCCAGAACCCAGCTTCTGCTGGGACAGCAGCAGCAGATGACCCAAGCCCTTGGGCCCCTATCACCCACGTGGGAGACCTGGATGAAGTTCCAAGCTCCTGGCTTTGACCTGGCCAAGCCTCAGCTTCTGCAGCCATTTGAGGACTACACCAAAGATGGAAGATTTCTCTGCCCATCTCTCTGTCTGCCTCTCTTTCTATAACTCTGTGCCTTTCAAACACATAAATCTTAGGAGAAAAACACCCCCCGAACAGTTTAAAGTCAGTATCACAAATCACTCCTCTAACAAGATTGTTCCAGTCTTCGAATGCTGTTTCTTTCTTTCTTTCCTTTTCTCTCTTCTTTTTCTGTTTCTTGTTTTTTTCGACCAGGCAGAGTGGACAGTGAGAGAGAGAGACAGAGAGAAAGGTCTTCCTTTGCCGTTGGTTCACCCTCCAATGGCCGCCGTGGCCGGCGCGCTGCGCTGATCTGAAGGCAGGAGCCAGGTGCCTCTCCTGGTCTCCCATGGGGTGCAGGGCCCAAGCACCTGGGCCATCCTCCACTGCACTCCCGGGCCACAGCAGAGAGCTGGCCTGGAAGAGGGGCAACCGGGACAGAATCCAGTGCCCCGACTGGGACTAGAACCTGGTGTGCCGGCACCGTAAGGTGGAGGATTAGCCTAGTGAGCCGTGGTGCTGGCCTGAATGCTGTTTCTAAAGCATGCGCTCACGGGGTAGCACTGGTGCATGATTAAAGCTGTCGCTAATGCTTGGAAATCAGTCATTCCAGTCCCAAGAGGTGTCACCACTGCACCTGTAGTGGGGATCACCCAGGCTACTGGGAGACAGGATGCCTGCACGCCAGGTACTACTTCTTTCTTCAGGGCAGACATTGCACTGAATCTGGGAATTTATGAAGAACTGGGCTCTTCTTTTACTCATGACAACCATAACCAAAGAAGCTTTCGAACTATAACTCAAAATTAGATTGCCACCAACAGGATAACTTCTTGCATAGGAATGTGCACAAAGTTAGTTTGTTTCTGACTGCACAGAATATGAATGTCTTAGTCATTTCCCTAAGCTGACAGATACAGCTTCTCCTCAAAGTTTTTGATCCTCTCTCTTCCATTCCCTCAACAACTTATACCATTCTTTCTTCCTCTGTGTCTTAGTCCCACCATTTGAGTTGTGTGACCTTGAACACGTTACTGAGCCATTGTTTCCCAACAATAAAAATGTCATCATAATAAAATCATCCTCAAGAAGTTGTTGGGATGACTCTTCATTACCACGTATAGAAATCCAGTCACTCACGAATGGCATATAGTAAACTCTCAATAAATGATATACAAATATAGAATGTTTATTTGCTGCAGTAAAAAAAAAAAATTGTGTTCCTAGTAAAGCTGGCTGTAATGCAGGCAGTATAGAATATAAACCAACTTAACATCAAGTATGTTTCTTCTACCATATAAAAAAGTGACTTTATCATAAAGACATAAATTGATGAATTAAGCAAGACGAATCAATAAGCAATGTTGAAGCGCTTTTGTTCCAAGCTAGAACACTTACAAGACTTGCTGATGGCTGGCTCCACCCGCACCCTCCAGGCTCCCTGGTGTGGAATCCACTCCATCTGTGGTCATCTTCACTGAAACACATCCAGTTTCATGAAAAACTCATTTTCCCCAGGTCCCAGGGGATTGACAGGACAATCCTATGAAATTCACACACACTGGCCCCACCTGATTTCATGCTGTCCCATGGTTCAAAAACAGAATCATCAACGACGCTGCTTAATCTGCTAGTTTCTCCTTCCCTGTAACCAAAACCAAACAAAACGAGTGAGCTAGGATTCTCTGCTAGACCAAAGCTCGGTTCGTTTTCCAGATGTGCTCTGTGCTTTTCTATTAAGATATTTCATTCTGCCATGTTTTCGTGACTTATTTAAAAGGCAGAAGGAGGCATAGATCTTTCCTCCACTGATTGAATTCCCCAAATGCCTGCTATAGCCAGGAGCCCAGAACTCAGTCTGACAATACCATGTGGGTGGCAGAGAACCAGCCGCTGGAGCTGTCACCTGCTGCTTCCCACGGTGAACTTTAACAGGAAGCTGGAACTGAACCCAATGCTGGGACTCAGCCCCAGGCACTTTGATAGGGGATGCTGGTGCCCCGCGTGCCACCTTCACTGCTATGCCAAGTGCCTGCACCCTCATTCTGAGTTTTAAAACTCTCTATCTGGGGCCAGAGCTGTGGCTCACTTGGTCAATCCTCTGCCTGTGGCACCGGCATCCCATTTGGGCACCAGACTCTGTCCTGGTTGCTCCTCTTCCTGTCCAGCTCTCTGCTGTGGCCCGGGAGGGCAGTGGAGGATGGCCCAAGTGCTTGGGCCCTGCACCTGCACTGGAGACCAGGAGGAAGCACCTGGCTCCTGGCTTCGGATCGGTGCATCGCTGGCCGTAGTGGCCATTTGGGGAGTGAACGAACAGAAGGAAGACCTCTGTCTCTCTCTGTCTATGACTCTACCTGTCAAAAGAAAAAAAAAACAAAACTCTATCTGACTATTTAGATCCCAGTTCTGTGCCACTTAGGGGGACAGCAAAGAAGCATCAAGCATTAACTGCATCACCCATCAACTTACAATCTACCATAAAGAGGAAACAATGCACAAACAGGCAGGTGATTGGGGGATGGGAGTCTCAACAGATCAAGGCATCAGCAGGCTTCACCCCAGGCCCATTGAATCAGGGTGGCAGGGCCCGGTGATCAGGTTTAACATCTTTCAGGAGGTTCCAATGCTGTTGTGGTAGGAAGAACTCCAGGTCATAGTTTGTTTGCCAACCCGACAAACCGTGAGCAGCACCGATCATAAGGACTGTTCCAGCAAAGCCTCACACCCACCCACCTGGGACCCCGATTACCGTTCGCTTCTGCAGTGAGCCACCCACTCTCTCACGGTGGCCTGCAGAGTTTCCAGACCCACACTCGGGCCTCCGTTTTCAGGGTCGAGCACACTCCTCAGCTCCTCCAGGCCGCCGTCTTCAGACTCCGGCCCAGTGTGTCTCAGATTATCCAGGATTCTGCCCACTCCTCCTGAGCCTTAGCAAGAACAGAGGCAAATTCATTTTGAAAGATTGAGAAAAATACAATTTTAACAAGTAAGATGCTGCTTACCTCTTTCAGATCTCTTGGGTTTGGGACAGACAGAATCTTGCAATCCTGGCGGGCAGTCAGTGTACTGGGGGAGGCCCCTGGCCTTGGGTTGGCATCTAATGGTCCTGGTGTTTACAGAGAGCCCCAACCCAGGCCTGTGATGCAGATCCTTGAAACTAACAGGCCAAGTCTCCCAGTCTCACTCCCTTAGCTTAAAGTTCTTTTGCCCTGCTTCAATGACTGTAAGGTGAAAACTACTAAAATTGGCTCACTAAATTCAGACAGTGGTGCAGCCAGCCTCAGAGAGTCCAAGGTCAAAAGACTCTTGAGGTCATTTATCTCCCCTACAGATAACATCTTTATTCCCCAGGCCATAGCACAGAGCTGGATCAGAAGTGCAGCAGTTGGGACTAGAACTGGCATCCATATGGGAGGCCAGCGCTGCAGGCAGATAAAGTATTAACCTACTGCACCACAGTGCCAGTCCCTTAGCGGCATGCCCCCAAGCATTGGTGGTTCCGGAACAGCATCGGCTCTCAGCTCTGCAGATGACCAGCTATGCAGCCTTGTGAAAATTCCGTCATCTCTCTGAGTCTCGATTTCCTTTCTTACAGATGTCTCTGAGGTTTAAATATTGACTGTATGCATAATTGATAACCACTTATGGGAGCTGGATTTGAGGTGCAGTGGGTTAATCCAGCAGCTGAGACACAAGTATCTATACGGTGGCCGGTTCAAGTCCCAGCTGTTCCAGCTGTTCCCAGCGATCAGCTCCCTGATAAAGTGCCTGGGAAAGGAGAGGATGGCCCAAGTGCCTGGGCCCCTGCACACTACGTGGGAGCCAGAGAAACCTGCTGGCTCCTGGTTTTGGCTTTGCCCAGCCCCAGCCATTGCAGCCATTTGGGGAATAAACCAGCAGATGCAAGGTGTCTGTCTCTCTCTGTCTCTCTCTCTCAAATAAACAGTTTAATTTTTTTGAAAAATGTTAAACCCTGAATCCTGTATCTCAAAACTGGGAAGACCTCCTGATAGGTCCTCCCAGACACTTTACATCAACTTCAAACGACTTATAATATGTAATGCAGTGTAAATGCTATGTAAACAGTTGCTTTTCTATATTGTTTTGGGGATGAAAAAGAAAGAAATCTGCATGTGTTGAGTGCAGACTGAATTTTTTCAATGCATGGTTGGTCAAGTTCATGGTTGGCTGGATCTGCGGATGTGGAACCCACAGATACAGAGGCCAACTGTAATTTCAAACCACTAGAAGAGCTGCGACCATAGTATAAATAACTCGCATGTGTCTTTTATCCAGATGGACTGTTTACTGAAGAAGTAACATTCTTCAAAATGGGTAAGGTCATAAGAGACTAACTATCAGAGGATTTGTTCAAGATTAAAGGAGACAGCCAAAGATGTAACAGCAGGGGCCAGCACCATGGCACAGTAGGTTAATCCTCCACTTGTGCTGCCGGCATCCCACATTGGCACCGGTTCTTGTCCCAGCTGCTCCTCTTCCAATCCAGTGTTCTGCTGAGGCCTGGGCAAGCAGCAGAGGATGCTGCAAATCCTTGGGCCACTGCACCCACGTGGGAGACCAGGAAGAGGAACCTGGCTCCTGGCTTTGGATAGACGCAGTTCCGGCTGTTGTAGCCACCTGGGCAGTGAGCCAGTGGACGGAAGACCTTTCACTCTGTCTCTCACTGTCTGTAACTCTATCTCTCAAATAATAATATTTTTTAAAAAAATGAATTCTTATGCCTTGATGATAATTGCCTTTAAAAAATGATTATGGAATAGTACTGTGGCACAGTGGGTTAAGCCACCATCTGTTGTGCCAGCAACAAGTGATTCGGGATTGGACCCTGGACCAGGAAATACCAGAACTATGAATTGCTTGAACTGACACAATTCAAATGTAGAATTGTGAATTAGTTAAATATCTGGACTTTGATTACTGTGTTGTGGTCCCATAAGCAAACACACTGTTCACAGGAAAAACACACCTGGGATGGTCTCAGAATAATCCAGTGTGGCAGGGAGGAAAGCAGGTCGGGTTGGACAGCCACAATGTATGCTGCAACCTACTCACCAGTGGCAGAGCCACAAAGGGGAACAGGTGAATGATAAAGCAAATGGAACAAAATGTCAACAATGTTTTCCAACTTTTCTGTTAGTTTGAAGTTTTAGGAAAATGAAGTCACCTCCCCCAACCTAAGGACTCCAGCTGGTATCAGAGGTTAATGAGTGTGAATAAGAAAAATAATTACAATGGATCAAAGATATCAAACATATGCAACTCACTAATTCAAAATATACCCAAAGACTTTGTTAGTGTCATTTCAAGGACACTGCAGAATCAATTTGTTGTTTTGAACACTATTATATAAACAGACACAATCAAGATTTTATCCTGTCTCTTCTATAGGACCCAAGACTCGGGATAGCCACATAACTGATGAAGATGGCAGAGTTTCTTGTTAGACATATCCCAGCTGACCAATTGGAGACACACAGTGGAATACCACCATTCGCAACACCTACTGCAAGAACAGATCTAGGCCTCGCCATTAATACGAAAACACATAATGCTCTCTGTGCATAATATTTGGCTCAAAAAAGCCCCTCAATAGAGGCAGAAACTCAGAGTAAGTGTTCCTCCAGCTCCACAATCACCAAATCTCACATTGTGACTAACTCTGAAACGAGAAAAAATTGGTTTAGTAACTTAAATTTCAGGGGAAAAGGAGCAGATAAGAAACTATCACAGAGGTAAGGCAGACCATCAAATGCAACGAACCAATCTTCCTTGGATATTGATATGAACAACCACACTTTAAGAAGAGAAGACATCACACAAATGCCAACTTTTGAATACTGACAAGCTATTTGAAAATATTAAGAAAGTAATTACTTTTTTTGTCACAATAATGGCATGGGAGTTGTGCTTAAAACCTTAATTACCTTTTAGAATTAGGTACCGAAAGATTTATGGACAAAATAATGCGATCCCTGGGATTTGCCTCAAAATAACGCAGGACAGAATAAACGGGTTGGTTATGAAATGACCCTAATTCTTTATGACACATACATAAGGGGTCATTATACTATTCACTCTACTTCTGAATATATTTGAAATGTCCTATAATAAAAAATGCTTTGAGCCAAATAAAACAACATATTGATGAAGCCATCTACACAAAGAGGTAAAACAAATCACTAACAAGGATTTACTCACAGAAATATGTGTAGAATTACCACGGATTTCTCCCTTCCTTTTGCTTATCAACACATTATTAATTTCATTATGGTGAGCATGAATCATTTATGTACTAAAAATTACTTGCAACACTATAAAAAGAATACATTTCTCAAAAAAAAAAGCAGAAGTGACAATCTAAAATTAGCTAAAATTTTTGAGCTAAACTTGGACAGTGGTTTTCTGTATTTGAAGTGAGTATTTCTTGTGAGAAGACACCTGTGACATGTAAATAGTTCCAATCAATGATCAGAGCTGTTAAGTCAGTTAATGAGCTAAAAAAGAAAGAAAGAAAGAAAGAAAGAAAGAAAGAAAGAAAGAAAGAAAGAAAGAAAGAAAGAAAGAAAGAAAGAAAGAAAGAAAGAAAATACATCACTCAAGTCACTGTTAAAATAAGCCAAACAGGAACAAGGAAATTATCAAGAAATAACCAAGACCTAACTAGCCAACCTAACTCCCAAATTAGTTTGTATCCACGACACATGTAGACATAGTACCCAGGCCCCATGCAAACCATTGATTTCCCTTTCTCCCACAACAGGAAGTGCAGATGACTCGGTGAGCACGAGCCAGTATCTGAGCAGGTCATTTTCAACTTACCTCTGCATGTTGTGCCCCATGCATGAAAAATACCAGCAAGCGGCTCGTCCCCCGGGGCCCCGTGCGTGCTGGGGGTGACATCATCTTTGCCGTCATCACCTCCCAGTTTCCATTCTATGAGAAGAAAACATTTGCCAACCCAGATGCTTTCCTGTGCTGCAATGATTCATTTCTCATTTCAGGGGTTTAATTTTAACAACGAAGGACTATTTTAATAACCAGCAGTGAATACTGATGACTTCACTTGAATGACTACATTCAAAAGGCAGACTTGAAAGTTTCCCTATTCACTCTTCTTTTTTTAAGTGTTATAAAAGTGGGGGGGGGGAGATGGAGAGAAAAATGAAATTTACCCTCTAATATTAATACTGTACTTGTGAAACACAATAGGTACAACACAAACAAATATTTTTAAGAGAAATGGAAGGGCTGGCATTGTGCTGCCACAGATTCAGTTGCACTCTGTAACACTGCCATCCCACATGAGCACTGGATCAAGTCCCCGGTGCTCCACTTCCAATCCCGCTCCCTGCTAATTGACTTGGGGAAGTTACAGAAGGTGGGCCAAGTGCTTGGGCACCTACCACTCATCTAGGGGACCAGGATGGATCTCCAGCATCCTGGTTTCAGCCTGTCCAGGCTCGGCAGTTGTGGACACTCAGGGAGTGAACCAGCAGATGGAAGATCTCTATTTCAAATAAAATGAGCTTTCCAAGGAAGAAAGAGGGAAAGCAGAAACCAGTTACACAGCGGGGCACCACTTCACATTATTTTGCTTTGTAGAGTCTACTACTCTGTCAATAATCTCCCAAGTAGAATTCCCTAAGTCACAACTCAAGTGCAACAGTTACTGCCTCCTTTGGCTTCCCTCCGATTTACTCAATGGAACCCTTTCTCCTAAGCTAATTTGACTCCTACACAAAGAAATCTAAAACTGATCACTTCGGCAAGTCCCCTGGGGGACGTGTATGCGTTTTAACTCCCCTACGTCTAAGTCTGACCACTGTGACATTCTAATTGGGTCCGGAAAAAGCTTGTTTTCAGATTAGTAGAGAAATACCACGAGGTTATGACTGTAAACAGAATCCAGAGTTTGCTTCAGGTTTTTAATTGAAACTATACAAAATACCTACAAGTTGGCCCTTAAGATTTTCAGGGAGGAAGGGAGGAAATATACTTAAAAGGGACAGGTGGATCGCTCCATCTGAACTCCAGTGATGTGGACTTCGCTGAAGTACACCTGCATATGGCTATATTGGAAGAGTGAATATTAACAAGTGAATATTTACCATCCTCATTCAAAGATAGTTGTTTCACCACTGACTCCTGGGGAGTCACAGAGTCATAGCTTTGGCCAGAAGCGGAATCAAAGTCAAGTGTGAAGGTTCTACAATTTTCACTACAACAGGTGTCCAAACCCTCGTTCAAGAGCATCCCTTGTCTACTCCGTGATAGCAAAGGTGTGCCACTCTGCTTGCTGCTGGATCTCAGTCTCGAAGCATTTTCAGAACTTGTCAGTGTAACAGGACATGTTCCATTCCCAGGAGAGCCTAGAGGGGAGAGGTGTGGGGTTCTTGGAGATACCACCTTAGGACAAGAAATGAAGGCACCAACTTGCTCAGAACTTGAGAAAGGAGAGGCGGGCACAGGAAAGTGAGCAGCCATCCCTATCTTCAGCAGATCCCCCAGGTTCTTCTTGCTGTGGGCCCGGGGACTCTGAGAACCGCTGGCTTGGTATCTGATGATCTGGCGAATTGGATTTGACGTCACCTCTCTCTTTTGGATGGCTCTGATTTTTCTACAAATGCTTTCCACTGGGTTGTGTCGTTTCTCAGTTTCCTTCCTTGTAGTAGCCATTGTAGACTTCTCTCCAGTTAAATAGAAGAAATGGCTAAAGTACAGGTAAAAGCAGACACGTTTTTAAAAGTTAGCATCACCTAGAGGAGTTACTTACAGTTGGTCAAGCATGGTCCCTAGTCAGTCTGGGGCACCAGATAGGTTCAAGGAGCGAGGGGGCCTCGAACCCAGAAAAGTTAGCATCACCTTAATCATAATTTAGTATTAGGCTGTTTATTCCCAAATCAACTTTGTGGGATGAAGGCAACATATTCACTTGTTTTAAATAATTTTCCATGTACTTAGCTTTGGCACTCAATTTTTAGAAGTGTATACAGCTAATATTCAGAGTACTTACTATGCACCAGGCATGGGACTAAAACCCTTCACATGTTATCAGCTCAATGCATTGTCAAGACAACTTCTTGAGGTCAGTATCAATAGTGTCTCCACTGGCAGGCAAAGAGAGAACAAGGGACCCAGGGCAACCCCCAGGTAAGTGCCAGAGCCCAGATTCCACCCAGACAATCCAGCTCCAAAACTGAATTTTTTTTTAAGATATATTTATTTCAAAGTCAGAGAGACAGAGACAGAGAGAGATCTTGTGTCCACTGGTTCACTCCACAAATGGCCTCAACAGCCAGAAGTGGGTCAAGTTGAAGCCAGGAGTTTCATCCAGATAGCCAACATGGCTACAGAGGCCCAAAGACTTGGACCATCTTCTGCTTTCCCAGTCCATTAGCAGGGAGGTGGATCAGAAGTGGAGCAGCCAGGACATGAACTGGCACCCATATGGGATACTGGAATTGGACATAGTGTTACCCACTCTGATTCAATGTCAGCCCCTGAGACTGGGTTCTAGACAACCTTGATTTTCATTTATAATATGTCAAGAGTGATGACAATGGTGATGGCATAATGCTGCTAAGAGCTCCCATTTGAGTACCTACCACTGGCACAGCTCTGGTTCTCAACTATGAAGAACTTACTAAGTACGCCCCACATTAAGAGTTTTACATATATCATGCCTAAACTTCACCCAAAGCCTGCCAGGTGTATGGAAATACCCTTTTTACAGATAAGGAAATGAGACTCAAAGAGATCAAGTAACTTGCTAATGGTCACATCTTTGAGTCAAAATATGTCGGACTCCAACAGTTTTACTATATGACAAGATATAAGTATATTTCATTAAGTTCATGGAAAATGCAATTAAAAGGTTTCAGGACAGAGTTTTCCAAATTCATGCTTATGTTCATAATTTACACTTTCCATGAAATTTTTAAAGAATCCTTAAATGCATGGATTGCAAAATTTTTTGCACCAAGAAAAAATTCTTTTTTTGGTAAAGATACAGCCATAATGGCCAGGGCTAGGCCAGGCTGAAGCCAGGAATGCCATCTGGATTTACCACAGGGTGACAGAGGCTCAAGTACTTGGGTCATTTTTGCTGCTTTTCCAGGTCCAACAGCAAGGAACTGGACCAGAACTGGGGCAGCCCATATGGGAACCAGCACCCCAATATGAGACGCCAGCATTGCAAGCAGAAGATGAACCTGTTGGGCCACAATACTGGCCCCTAACCTCATCTTTGAATTTCATTTTCTATGATCTTGTAGATACACACTTGTTTGTGACTTTTTGAAAAAGCATGACCTTACTTTTTATAAGACAGTAACTAGGGAATTTGGAAATAAATCCACAATTTTACTTAAACTGTTAAAGTTTACCTATCTATTTGCAAGGCAGACAAGCAAAGACCGACAGCTCTCCCATCCACAGGTTCCCTTCCCAAATGCCTACAACATCTTGAGCTGTACCAGTTTGAAACTGGGACCCCAGAACTAAACCAAGGTTTCCACATGGATGGCAGGAACCCAAATACTTTAGCTATCACCGGCCACTTCCTAGGGTGTTTATTTGCAGGAAGCTGGAATGAGAAGCAAGCAGGACTCAAAGTCAGGTACTCTGATATGGGATGGGGGCCTATCAAGTGGTATTTTTTTTTTTTTTTTTTTTTTTGGACAGGCAGAGTGGACAGTGAGAGAGAGACAGAGAGAAAGGTCTTCCTTTGCCGTTGGTTCACCCTCCAATGGCCGCCGCAGCCGGCGCACCGCACCGATCCGATGGCAGGAGCCAGGAGCCAGGTGCTTTTCCTGGTCTCCCATGGGGTGCAGGGCCCAAGCACCTGGGCCATCCTCCACTGCACTCCCGGGCCACAGCAGAGGGCTGGCCTGGAAGAGGGGCAACCAGGACAGAATCCGGCGCCCCGACCGGGACTAGAACCCAGTGTGCCGGCGCCGCTAGGCGGAGGATTAGCCTAGTGAGCCACAGCGCCGGCCTCAAGTGGTATCTTAACCTCTGTGCCAGATGCGCACCCAAAAATTGGAAAAATTTAAAATACTCTGGACAAAGATTTGTAATAATGTGAATAACTGCAAATAGTTGAATAGTCGTAAGGACCCCAAGGTTATGATTTTCAGGACCTTAGCCACCATTTCCATAGATCTTTGTTAAATCCCCTCATAAGGAATGAACAAAAGGTACAGAATTTTTAAGAAGCTCCAAGTCAAAGGACTATCCAGACATGTTAGGAAGAAGAGAACCAAAACCCCCTCCCTGTGGCTTGCTCCGACTTGAACGTGATGGCCTTAAGCTCCACTCAGGACATTTCCACCCACACGATCCTTTACTATTTAAGGCAGTGGCCATCTCCAGTCCATTGTGTGCTTGCTCGGCAACACTCTTCATCTATCGAAGGCTGGTCTTTCACGAACAAGCCCAGAACACATTCCTGTACTGAAATCCAGCAATCAGCGCACACCCACTGGACTCCAAATCATCTCTGACATGTAGAATTGTACTACATATTTTGTCTTGCAATTACATTTCATCTTCTTGTGTTATTTCAAATACATGTTCTCTTCAAACATCCTTGACGTTTTGAAATTTAAAAGCCACACTGTGATTTTTTTCTAAATACCCAATAATTGTCAGAGTAACTGACAAGGTGGAGATGTAAACATGTGTATCGTCATCAAGCTTAGGGAGTTTCCCCCAGCTGAGATAACTGTTGGCCCCTCACTCCCTTCAGCTACCTGCTTTTCTGGAGAACTCCCCCGAAGCCCAACAGGAGTTGCCCAACTGGGTGCTCAAGGGTGGATGTGAGGGAGTAGTAATGACAGAATTGGAGAATTCATCTCTGAACATAACGCATCCCACATCTACGGCTGACTGTGGTGGTGCCTTATCATGAGCATATTTGACTTCCCTATGACAATCAGAGAGGTTTTTTTTTTAAAGATTTATTTATTTATTTCAAAGTCAGAGTTACACAGATAGAAGACAGGCAGAGAGAGAGAGAGAGAGAGAGAGAGAGAGAGAGAGAGGGAGGTCTTCCATCCGATGGTTCACTCCCCAAATGGCCACAACAGCCAGAGCTGTACCGATCTGAAGCCAGGAGCCAAGGGCTTCTTCCCAGTCCCCCACATGTGTGCAGGGGCCCAAGGACTTGGGCCATCTTCTATTGCTTTTCCAGGCCATAGCAGAGAGGTGGACAGGAAGTGGAGCAGCCAGGCCTCCAACCGGCGCCCATATGGGATGCTGGCGCTTCAGGCCAGGGCGTTAACCCACTGTGCCACAACACCGGCCCCAATCAGAAAGTCTTACAAAAATTTAGTTAAGTGTCTCTATCATTGTTCTCAATGTCCGTGAACAGTTTCTCCCTTCTAGAACCTTAGAGGTAAGGCACAAGTTGGGCATGAGGATTATAAATATCGTAGAATTGGACCCCCCCCAGATTCTAGGACTGCCTCCCTGGCCAGCATTCCTGATGGGTGTTGGTTGAAGTCCTGGCTGCTCCACTTCCAATCCAGCTCCCTGCTAGTAAGCCTGGGAAAGCAGTTGAAGATGGCCCAAGTCCTCGTATTCCTGTCACCCTGTGGGAGATCTGAATGGAGTTCCAGGTTCCTGGCTTCTGCCTGTGCCAGTCCCGGACTCTGTGGTCATCTGGGGACTGAACCAGTCTAATTCTGCCTTTCAAATAAATAAATCAGAGCCCAGAGTGCTCACCATTACACAATGGAACCGGGCTTCAAATAAATAAATCTTAAAAAAAAAAAAAGTCAATGTCAGACTCCCAGCCCCTGTCTACTCATGTCACCTAACACTGCTGTAAGGTGCTGCTCAAGCCTTGATCAAAGCAGGCTGAGCAGGCAACCTTTTCCATTTGCTCTTCTCATCTTGAACTGTCTTCCAATTTTCTGAACTCCGTGACTTACGCGAGTGAGCCTGCTTGGCAGTTAATAAGGTAACACTTCCTAAGAGTACACTAAAGGCCGGCGCCGCGGCTCACTAGGCTAATCCTCCACCTTGCGGCGCCGGCACACCGGGTTCTAGTCCCAGTCGGGGCGCCGGATTCTGTCCCGGTTGCCCCTCTTCCAGGCCAGCTCTCTGCTGTGGCCAGGGAGTGCAGTGGAGGATGGCCCAAGTGCTTGGGCCCTGCACCCCATGGGAGACCAGGAGAAGCACCTGGCTCCTGCCTTCGCATCAGCACGGTGCGCCGGCTGCAGCGGCCATTGGAGGGTGAACCAACGGCAAAAAGAAGACCTTTCTCTCTGTCTCTCTCTCTCACTGTCCACTCTGCCTGTCAAAAATAATTAAAAAAATTAAAAAAAAAAGAGTACACTAAGACACTGGCCTTTCATACACTGACAGATCTTCACAGATGAATGTGTTTGCTTTTTCTAATATAGAACGGAACATTTGTGGGAGTTCAGTAAATGGGATGATGAAGATTTCAAAGTGCTGCTACCTTCTCCATATATAGCCTGGAAATGTCTCTTGTTGTCTCTACTCGAACCTCTTTTTTGATCGTAGATCCTGGTAGGAAGGATTAACTGTAGTTTTCACTAATGCTTCCAGATACCAGGCTGACTCACTTTGAATCTAACTGCCTTTGAAAAAAACCTTCACTGCAAATGCAAAGCTCCAAGTGGCTCTATCAGGACAATCAGCTACTT